AGGTATTCACTAAAGGTCAAGGAAGTAAAACAGAGACCCCACAGGACAAACAGGCTGACCTAGGCTCAGCTGCACATCTGTAAATCATGAGGTTTGGACAACTACATTAACTTAGAGACATAACCAGGTTCAGATGTGGGGGAGGAGTAGAAAGAAGTGAACCTGGAGTGGGGGATGGGCACTGTGCACTCTGACCATCTCTCTGCATCTCACTGTCTTGCTTTCTTACTTTTATCTTCATCTTAGTCCTAACAACTATCAGGAACATAGCATCCTAAATTGTTGAAAAGGAATCACTGCTCCCAGTCAACTATGTCCATGTTGGCCTTAGAAGAAAAAATATGGGTGTAAAAGATTGCAGCATGTAAATTTAACTTAAACAGAAGGAAGCATTTTATGAAAGCTATGATGACAGGCAGGGAGAAAGTAAACACTGCAGCAAGTTTCTGAGTTCCAGATTTCTATTTGTGAAGAAGACCTAGTCTTTGTGGTTAAGAGCAGTGTAGTTGAATATGTTTAATATTCACCACTATTTTGTGATGGTAACTATGGGAGCAGATACCTCCCAAGAGAAAATCTGGTTCCCAAGCTTTAGCTCGTGCCCTCGGTAAGCTAACAGTACTAACTATGGTAGTGACCAAGACCTGAGACAAATAAATCTATGACCTTGGCTGGGAGCTTGGATCCTTAGTTGGTTCATTCCTTGACTCTAAGTCACTCTGTCTGCCCCACATGGAGCAGCATGAAAGCCTTAAAGGTCTATGGATTATAGGGTTATTTGACCTCTTTTCCAAGTTGGGGGCCAAGTGGGTAGAGAACTGAGTGAATATAGGGAAGTGGGAATTGACCATTAGGAGAAGGTCCTAATGGTTCCTCTGCATATATTCACTTCCAGCAAAGAACTAGATCCTTCGAATTGGAGGGCCTGTAGTAGGATCATCTAATGTGGCCTCTTATTTTACCAAAAGAAGCTAGGACTTGACTTGGGTTAAGTGGTGAGACCTCGAAATTACCAAATAGCTCAGTCACTCTAGGCAAGCGTTTCTATCTGGCCCCCCTCCCTCCAGGTCTCTCATGTGTGCATTTCCATATGTGTGTCTGGTTATTTCTAGAGAGGGGACACCTTTAAAGACAGGAGTCCCACCTTCCTCAAGCTACAATGCTAAAATAGTCCAGCTTCCCAAGAACCAGTCCCATTTTGTCATTTACCTGCAAATGGTGACGTGGAGACTGACAATGACGGATCTCTTAGGCTGTGAGTGCTGGGGCATCTTTCACCTCAGGAGTCCCATCCTAGCTTACAGGGATGGGCAGGATAAAGGGACCAATGCTAGCGGAAGTATAAATTAGTTGAAAAATAGCAATCAAATTAGAATAGAAGCCTGAGTTAGACCATGATGCTCTCTTCCCCGAACACTTTTTCATCTTATGTTCGCAACTGTACAATCCAGCATTTGATTGTGGGTTCTCTTGCTTTGTTCACCAAATCTCCTGTGTGAAAGCCTTGACTTCCTGAACAGATCTGGGGCTTCTTTTCTGTCTTCCCCTTTTTTGCCTCCTTTAACACTTAAAATGGATAGGCTCACACTGAGCCTACTGATTATCTTCCCAGTGGTGAAAGCTATAAGTAACTATGGTAATGGGGCTGTTGATCTCTTTAAGATTTGGAAGACATCAATTTACTAACCTTCCTCAGAGTCAGGGATACGGACAAAGACAGTGCTTCCGATACCTGGCTTATTCTGTCAGTTACTTAATCACGTACTGGGCAGGATCCAGGCATCTGAATCTTTATGGAGCTCTTGCAAGTGATAACTTCGCCAACACTCAGACATGCAAGGAGGAGCTCATGAGTAACCTGAATTTACAGAGCAATGGTTTACAGCCTCTTCAAATTAATGACAGTTCAAGTCTACTTCCTACAGATAGATTCTTTATAATTTAATCCTATTTCCTATACATTTCACCAAAACCCTGCCCTCTCTGATCTCTCAGATTTCAGGTATCTCTGTTCAGCGCTTATGCCTTTTGCCCCCAAGAGAATAAAAGAATCATCCAGAAAATGATCAGTTATTTTCTGGCTTAATTATTTTCTCTACAGTTCAGCTCTAAAGTCAGAAACTCAAGAAAAATTTGTTGGCAGATCAGGAGATGAATCCTTAGAGGGAATCTAGTGTAAGAGTTAACATTAACAGCAGGTACTTTGGAATCAGATGGTCCAGGTTCTTAGTGGCAAACTAATTTTCCTGAACTTCAGTTTTTTTTCTCCTGTCAACACCTACCTCAAAGGTTGTTTTGGCCCTAGCTAGTTTGGCTCAATGGATAGAGCGTCGGCCTGGGTCTGAAGGATCCTGGGTTCAATCCCAGCCAGGGGCGCATGCCTGGGTTGTGGGCTCGATCCCCAGTAGGGGGCATGCGGGAGGCAGCCAATCAATGATTCCCTCTCATCATTGATGTTTCTCTCTCTCTCTCTCTCTCCCTTTCTCTCTGAAATCAATAATATATATATATATATATATATATATATATATATATATATATATTTTTTTTTTTTTTTTTTTAAATTTTAGGGTGAATGAAATAATACCTAGAAAGCACTTTAAACACCTGGACAGTCAAGCACCCAGTAAATGTTAACTGCTATAATTTTTAAGAACACCCCAATATTTGCACACACTCCAGGCCAGAACAGTCCCAACTTGGCAGGCTGTCAATAAGGAGTAGCTCTCTGGCATGGGAAGTAGGCCTGTATGGATAAAGTTTCTTGTTCCATTCTAAGAGAGAGATGCAAGTGACTCAAGATCTTCCCACAAACACGAGTGTACCCATAAGCATGTAGTGTCCCTAGGAAAATCACCCTTTCAGTACTCTACAGACCTAAAGACCCTACACAAGGAGGTCCTATTTGGGAGAATCAGTCACCAACTCTGTCACCCTTCTAGTCTACTACATGCAACATGAGCTGAAGATCAATGACCTGGAATTTTAAGAACTGTTTATGCTCTGAAAGAGAACTACAAAAAAGATGTAGTTTCAAAAGACAAAACACTATATTTTTGAGAAAGCATTACAGTGAAGAGGCCAAAGGCTTTGTAAGCAGACCAACTTCAGCTCTAGTTCTAGAGCAAATCACTATAACCCTCTGGACCTTACCTCCTTCATCTATATAGAAATAGAATGGAGAGAGAATAATCTTTCATTGGATTATTGTAAGGTTTGAATGAGGTAATGAGAAGAAAAGCACCAAGCACAGAGATTGGCACCCCAGAAGCACTCAACTGGTACTGATTCCCTATTTCTGCCCAGAGCTAAGGTCATGGCCTACAGGTATGGCCTACAGCAGTGATGGCGAACCTTTTGAGCTCAGCATGTCAGCATTTTGAAAAACCTTAACTTAACTCTGGTGCCGTGTCACATATAGAAATTTTTTGATATTTGCAACCATAGTAAAACAAAGACTTATATTTTTGATATTTATTTTATATATTTAAATGCCATTTAACAAAGAAAAATCAACCAAAAAAATGAGTTCGTGTGTCACCTCTGACACACGTGTCATAGGTTTGCCATCACTGGCCTACAGGTATGACTCTCAGATATTGAGGCCTTGGGTCCTTCCCTGCCTCTCTATCCCTCCCAGACCAGCTCTTACACCCTTTCCTTACCTTCCCAGCCCCACAATGCTACCAAATTGATGAAGCTAAAAGGATTTGATCATGTCAGTATATTTATATGTAAACACAAAACTATTGGTATAAGATACTGAATATGAACATTTACAATTATTTTCTGAATCTGACTCAATCCATTGACATTAAATACAAAAGGAAAAGATTGTAAAATAAGAACATATACATTCAAGAGCTTATTACAGTATAAAATTATCGAGGTCTGATCAGCTACCAACCTCATCTGTGATGGAGGAAGCTTTAAGGGTTCCTGGGATTTTCTTGGGAATATAGAGCACTGGGGACTCGATTCCATCCCTGACACATCAGGCTAGTAGGCTGGGAGCAGACAGAGATAGGTTGGGTGAATGGGAAGGAAATAGAAATTGCAGGGGCACTGCTATACCCAGCCGGGAGTTAAGATTTTTTCTGTCATAGAGCCCACCCAGCTTGAGCGCCAGGGTCTGGCAGGCTACTAGGCAGAAAGAAATGGTTATTTGAGTGGATAGGACCAAGCTGCATAAGGAAAGGAACATTTTGGTAAAACAAAAAGGGACCCTAGCACAGTCTCCCAGGGGAAGATTCTCATGGTAGTTTTCTTTCTCATGCCTAGGCTCCTTCTCTTTCCTTCTAAGAAATTGCTTTTGGCTCTGGCTGCTCAGTGAGTTCATCTCTACTCCCAGGCTCCAAACCCCGAGGGATAGGAAGAGAAAAGAGAATCACAGTGGAGGTCTATTACCAAAATCAGCAAAGTAAACAGAGGAAACCATTAGGTAAGGGCAATCCATGCTGAATTAAACCAGTGTCACCACAAACCAGTATTTTTGGCTCCAAAAGGTAGCATTCTGGAGTGAGATAAGTCATGACGTAAGGATGAAGGCCTGTGGCAAAAACACGAAGAGTGCCCTAACTGGTTTGGCTCAGTGGATAGAGCGTCAGCCTGCAGACTCAAGGGTCCCAGGTTCGATTCCGGTCAAGGGCATGTACCTTGGTTGCGGGCACATCTCCAGTGGGGAGTGTGCAGGAGGCAGCTGATGGATGTTTCTCTCTCATTGATGTTTCTAACTCTCTATCTCTCTCTCTTCCTCTCTGTAAAAAAATCAATAAAATATATATTTAAAAAAAAAAAAAAAAAACACGAAGAGTAGATGTACCTGTGTCCTCTTCCACCACCCTGTGGTCTGACAACAGGAGACATGATCCCCAACCCCAGCTAGTCCGGGATAAACAGTAGGGCACAAGAAGCAACGAGTCCTAAACTGCAACATGGAGCCCCAGAAACTTTTATAAAGGAGTAACTGTGTGTATATGTATTGATAGAATACCACCATATTGTCAGATACAATATATATTATATACACACGTACATATGGACCCATACACATAAGTGCACATACACACACACACACACACAGAATAACAGAAGAGACTCGAATACACGCTCTAGGTATAAACGTGCTTGGCACTCGGGACGTTCTCTAGAACATATAACTTGGTCAAGCTTTCTGGGAAGGAAGGTGGATGCTCACCAAACCTCCCCATCAAATCCTAGCAATGGGGAAGGAATGGGGAAAGGGACCTCCAGAAGGAGAAGGCATTGGGAAAGGCGGAGGGAGTTTCCTTTCCCACTTACCTTGCTTAGAGCCTCTGGCAAAAATCAATAGCCACAATTTGGTTTTAATAAGGCACAGTTCAATGGCAGGTGCTAGGAATTAAGAACACATTGCTGCTGGCCCTTTCTAGTAACCATTTCACCACATCTACCCAGCCAAAGGGAAAGGCTGCCCTGCACCAGGAGTCTGGAGTACACCGGGAAACACAAGAAAGAGGTTCATCCATGGCTTCAGTGTAACTGATGGCAGCCTACAGGCTCAGCGGTGTCCAGGGAGTTTAAGGAAGAAGGCTGGCTAGCAGGAGGAAGTTCATGGGACAGTTACTGACTCTCCATAGCCAGGATGTTGTGGCTGGATGGCACCATGCCCTCCCTTTCTGCGAACTCCAGGATTGCCTTGTAGCAAAAATAGTACTGCTCAGGGGTCTGGATACTGAAGGCCCTCTGGGTCCTCATGCGGGACACCGTCTGGAACACATTAAGGGTACCAAGCTCCTCCAACTGTGCCAGGCAGATGTCCAGTGAGCAGAAGGTACCTGAAGGAAGAAAGGAAGTAGTCATATCTGACCTACCTCTCTTCTCCCCACCCTTCTACCAAATAACCCAGGGAGGACTAGATTACTGAATTTATAGGTAAGGGGCCTTAGACCTGAAAGGAGTCAAGGAGGAGGCACAGTGAGTGCTGGAAGCCAGAGAAATGAGACGGCATATATATGGAGGTAATAGAAAGGTGGGAAAATGACAATCCTGATAGAACAACAGCCCTCCCACACCTGGGCCCTAATTTTCAGACTCTACAATTTCTCCATAGAGGCCTAACACAAACCTATTCTTCCTGACCTTCTCCTAAAGGGATCTCTGACGAGAAATGCCAGCAGTCCCTTCAATAATCATCCCCTTAAGGCTAAAGTTGCTAACTGGATCCAGAATGGAGAGGTAAAGCAAGGTGGAGACCTCCCCAGGGAGAGAGATGGGAAGGAAGCAACAGCACAGCTGAGCTCTCTGAGACACCCGGGTGACTGATGGGGTCAGAAGATGATCATGCTGATGGATGTATAAAGCATCAACCCCCAGAGGACTTGGCTTGTGAAGTGTATGTTCTGGACACACACTTAGCACTAGGGATACCAAAAATACATTAAAGAAGAATTTTCCATGGCAATTCACCACCACTGGACCAAATTTTCTCAACCTGGCAAGGAAGAGCGTGGTTATCCCTCCCCCACCTTTACTGCCTCCAGAGGCCATTAGAGCTGCATCAGGCGCATCATTACCTGTCCTGCCAATGCCTGCGCTGCAATGGACCACAATGGGTGGTTCAGGGCCCTGCCCTTTGGAGTGTGTGCCCATGCTGCTGACGGCCAACCTCTGCTGGCTCCTGACTGCTCTCAAGAAGTCAATGAGGGAAGCCGCTGAGGAGGGGACACCATAATCGGGCCAGCTCAGGAACTGAAAGTGAGTCACCTGGCGTTTCTGCCGCTCCTTGGATAGAAAAAGAAAAAAAAGTTAGTGAGGTCATTTCTGCTTGCCCTGACTACCTTCAGCTTTTCTAGTTCTTGACATCCTGGGATCTCTACTACCAAGGTTCCTGCCTACCACCCTCAACTTTCTCCACAACTGCTTCTCTACAAACCCAAAGGAAAGATTTAATGTTTGGAAAGGGCAGAATTCCTATTTGTAAGATCCAGATTTCTCCTAAGTTTTATTCCTACGTAATGCCACTGTTGTGTTGCGATAATATGGTTATATTGGCTCTGAATTAAATATCCTGATCCTCTTCCCAGAAAAATGGATGTAACTTATAAGCCCCCTGGAATCCTGCCTATTTCCCTTTGGATATTTTCTTTACAGTAATAGTTCTCCCTTAGCTTCAAAAAAGTGAGAAAATAGAAACCTGGATTTACCTCTGTGTTATGAATTTCTAGCGTTGTTTTCTTATAATGGTTCATGTTCTCCACGCCTAGATTGGTCACTGTGAGGAAGCCAAATCGGATCCGAGAGTCTTTTTCTAAAGGCCAGTACTGGCCACACTTCCTCCTGCCGCCCTCCTCAAAGCTGAAGATACACAGAGCAAGGTAAGCCTTCCACCCTTCCTCTCCACACCATTAACCATGCCCTCCCCAGGGGCAGCAGTATCACCTCTTGCATTGTTTCTAACTTACACCCTTGCTTTTTGGCAGAAAAGAAAGAAAACCTTCATTCTAAACAGACGTAACAACAAAAATTTCTGCATGTACTCATTAAAGCAGATTTTTACTGAGCACCTACTATATCATTTGGCCCCTTTCCTCTGGGTACTCCTCATATATCTGGGATAAATACCGGGTGGACAAAGAAAGACAGTAGATAAAATGTGGTGGGCCAGATTGAACTCTCTGCCTTGTATCTCAGCCACTGTTCATTTTCTTCCCCAATGAGGGCCCTTGAGTGATAGAAGAGTAGGAAAGGCACAGCTCCTAAGATGCCGGCCCTGAGGTTTGTGTAAAGGCCTAAAGTCCACCTCATTACACTTCAGTGGCTCCAAATTACTCCAAGGTTATACTTCTTCCACAACCTCCTCTCCAAATCAAAGGTGGTTGTAACAGTACCATGAGAAAGCAAAATGAGCTAACATTCTCATTAATTTTTTCTCCTCATCTGAAATAGGTTATAATTATCATAATGATAATAGTAATACTAATGAAATAGTAATTCCTAAAGTTTTGGCAGATGTGTACACCAAAATTTCAAAAACACTATTTTCATCAAGAGCTTCCTGCCTACATGAGCAGAAAATTGTCAAAGTAGCAGGGGAAGGGAGAGCAAAGGGGAACCGGCAATTCAGACACCACACTTCGCATGTCACTGTCTGACTTTTTAAGTATAATTTAAATGGAGTGACAGTCACTGCCCTTCATATTATTTTTTTATACAGGTGCCCTTTGGAAGTATTCAAAGTGAATTGTCCCATGTTTCCTAAACTTCCTTTAGTGGATAAGACCAGGATAGGCTGTAACTGGCACAGGGTCAATAGAGCCATGGATTAAAACTTTGACAAGTTAGATCTATCAATCTCCACCGTACCCTGACTGTTAACTTTGGATCAGCTAAAAAAAAAGAAAAAAGAAAAAAAAAGCTATGACATCTCAAACTCTTGGCCATGGCTTTCGTAATCCTCATTGTGTTTAAAAGCTAAATGCCTCTTTGCAATCACCCATGATGCTTGGGGAGGCAGGGGTGGGGAGAGGGGCCAGAGAGCAGTGGGAAGAAAAGTGATAAACTTACCGAGTGGTCATGACAATCACCAAAACTTTTTGCTCCCATACCATGAGCCAAAAATCACGGTAAGTGTTCTCCAAAGGGCCTGGAATGAAAGGAGAAGACAAGGTATGAGTGTGTTAACGCACATCTGAATGTTAACAAGGTCCCCAGGTAGGTTACAGTCTGAGAAGCACTGTTACTGACCTTCTCAGAGTCTTATGACCAGGGCTTCAACTATCATATCCAGACTGACAGTGTCAACTGTGTACAACAAGGCTGTAGCTGTTTTATTTAATCTAAGCCTTATAATCAATCACCAGTTGCCAAGTGAACTGTCCCCTTCCATGTCCCACCATCTCCTCAGACTCAACATATTTGCAATTCAGCTTCCTCCTTCAAAACTAGCTTTCTCTCTACACTTTCCCATCTCTATTTACAGTACTGGCATTCTTCAATCACCCAGTCTTAAAAAGTTGAAGTCAATTCTGACCCATTTTTCCCAAAATTGTTCTTTAAAAATGTATTGATTTGCGGGGGTGGGGGGTGGGGTGAAGGGGAAGAGAGAAAGAGAGAGGGGGGGCGGGGGAACACAATGATTTGTTATTCTGCTTATTTATGCATTCATTGGTTGAGTCTTGTATGTGCGCTGGCGGGGGATCAAATCTACAATGTTGGCATATTGGGGTGACACTCTAACTAACTGTGCTACCCATTTTGGCCAGGGCCTTTACCCACTTTCTTTTTTTTTTCTTTTTAAATATATTTTATTGATTTTTTACAGAGAGGAAGGGAGAGAGATAGAGAGTCAGAAACATCGATGAGAGAGAAACATTGATCAGCTGCCTCCTGCACATCTCCTACTGAAGATGTGCCCGCAACCCAGGTACATGCCCTTGACCGGAATCGAACCTGGGACCTTTCAGTCCGCAGGCTGACGCTCTATCCACTGAGCCAAACCGGTTTTGGCACCCCACTTTCTTTTATCTACCAAATCCTTGAGATTTTTTGCCTTTGAATTGTTTTTGGTTTTTGTCCCCATCCTGATCTCTCTACTCAATTTCACTGCTATGAGGACCAACCATATAATCTTTTGTCTGAGTTACTGTACTTCCATCTTGGTTTACTTTCCTGAACAGGACTCTCTCTTCCAATCTATTCTGGATACTCCTGCCCGTTTAATCTTTCTAAAAAATTGCTTCATCACAGTATAGACACATTATGCTCACTTCTGCCTCTATTCCCATGCTCAAGCCATCTCTCTCATCTCCAAGGCTGTTCACTTTCCACCCATTTTCAAGTGCTGCCTCTCCCTTGCAGCTTTCTCTGACCACCACACTCCTTGCAGGACTTCCTCTTGTCTCAGATATTGATGGCACAGCTAGATCAAAACAGCTTAACCATTTAACGTATATGGTCTCACACCAGTCATTTTACTTTGTGAGAATTAATCACATCTCAGCAAACATGGTGCTAAGGGCAAGGGCCATGCCATCAAGTTATCCTTCTGTCTTACAACCTGCACGAGATGGGCATTCAGAGGGAACTTTGAAGATACTTGTGGGCCAACAACTCCCTTTCAATCAAAGAAGTAACAACTCAGGGTAGTTCCTTGTACTTTCCTAGTGCTTTTTCCTCTTCTGGTTTCAGGGAAACACAAGGGTTGATTTTATCCTGGAAGTTTTCTGGTTTCACTACCATTTTTGCTAACCTTTTTAGCAAGCACCAACATTGTATGACACTAGAATTTCTGCTGTGCAGAAGTGGACACTGTGAAGTCTTGAAAACAAACTAAATGTCTAACAAAAGAGGATTAAAGTATTGCATATCCCTAATTTAAACAATCCATACGGTAATATAAGATCTGTATCTTCTGCTCTGGAAAGGTGTGCACATGATATCAAGTGAAAAAAGAGATAATGTATAAAAAGAGTCCATTTTGTTAGATATTTTATATGTCTATACCTATTTATATGCATAGAAAAAGGTTTAGAAGGAGATGCTGAAAAATGTTAACATTATCTATGGGTCTCAGGGTTATGAGTGATTTTCATCTTCAATTTCCGATTAATCTCTATGCAATGAGTTTCCAGGCAGATATGTATAAATTCTGCACCTCTTATCTGCCTTCTTCAATAACCCCCAATCTTAATGAAAAACCAAGATCTAGTGGCCACAACATTACAGAAAGTAACCATTCCTTTAAAAATTACGCTATCATCTGGTGCAAAGAATCACAGGTAGATGACTCAAAACCAATTTGTGAGGGGTGGACTAACTTACCTTGTGTACCAATGTAAGCATTCTTCTGCTTATAGCCATCCATGAAACTGGCATTGATGTAATCTGTCTAATGATAAAAAGGAAACATCATTGCAGCTGTGTGGAATATACCATTTGGGTGGGAAAATAATGTACTAGTAGGTAAATAAAACCGAGGGTATGGCTATTCTCTTCTTGTCAGGAAAAAAAAAAAAAAAAAGAGAGAAGCAAAAAGGCCAATTCAATTCAGAACCTCACTTCCACAAATATTGCTGGAACAACTGGATATCTACATGCAGAAAAAGAAAAAAACCAAGCTGAATCCTTCCTCACACCATACACAAAAACTAACTCAAAATGGATCACAGACCCATTTTATAGCTAAAACTATAAAAGTCCTAGAACAGCAGTTCTCAACCTGTGGGTCACGACCCCTTTGGGGGTCGAATGACTCTTTCACAGGGGTTGCCTAAGACCATCGGAAAATACATATATAATTACATATTGTTTTTGTGATTAATCACTATGCTTTAATTATGTTCAATTTGTAACAATGAAACTGGGAGTCACCACAACATGAGGAACTGTATTAAAGGATCACGGCATTAGGAAGGTTGAGAACCACTGTCCTAGAACAAACTATAGGATTAAATCTTTTTGACATTAGGTTAGACATAGCCCTCTTAGATATGACACATAAAATCACAAGCAGCAGCCTGGCCAGCAGTGGTTGAGCGTCGACCTATGAACCAAGCACATGCCCAGGTTGCAGGCTCGATCCCCAGTAGGGCACGTGCAGGAGGCAGCTGATCAATGATTTTCACTCATCATTGATGTTTCTATCGCTCTGTCCCTCTCCCTTTCTCTCCAAAACAATAAATATCTATATTTTAAAAATCATAAGCAACAAAAGAAAAAACAGATAAATTCAACTGCATTAAAATTGAAAACTTTTGTGCTTCAAATGATACCATCAAGAAAGTGAAAACAAAATAACAACAACAAAAAAATCCCACAGACTGCATATATTTGAAAAGAGATTTACACCTAGAATATATAAAGAATTCTCGAGATCCATAAGGGACGCACTCAGGGAGCAGACTCAGTGAGCACCAAAGCCCCACTGAAGCAAGTCTTGCCCCAGAAGGGTGTCTTCAGCACAGAAGGTCTCCCACTTTAGACACAGCTGATTCTCACAGCCAATTGGCCTGGAGGTCAATTCCTCCCAGTGATTCTACAACAACCAAGGCACCAAGAGTGCACCAAGAGTGTCCACCCCAGGTAACTGGGGAGGCTGAGCTACTGGGCCCTACAGGTTACCTGGCGCACAGGGCCACTCTATCAACACAGGGAAGCTGCCAAAATGCGGAGACAAAGAAACAGGTCACAAATGGCAGAAATGGAGGAAAGCAAACGATTGGATATAGAGTTTAAGGCCACGGTTATAAGGTTTTTCAAGAATTTTATGGAAACCGCCGATAAATTTAATGAATCCCTCAATAAGTATAGGGAGACCATGGAGGACATGAAAAAGGACCAACTAGAAATTAAGCATACACTGACTGAAATAAAGAATAATTTACAGAGATCCAGCAGCAGAAAAGAGGATCCCAAGAATCAAGTCAAAGATTTGAAATACAAAGAAACAAAAAATACCCAACCGAAAAAGAAAAAAGAAAAGAGATTCCAAAAATATGAAGATAGTGTAAGGAACCTCTGGGACAACTTCAAGCGTACCAACATCAGAATTATAGGGGTACCAGAAGGAGAGAGAGGGCAAGATATTGAAAACCTTTTTGAAGAAATAATGACAGAAAACTTCCCCTACCTGGTGAAAGAAATGGACTTACAAGTCCAGGAAGCGCAGAGAACCCCAAACAAAAGGAATCCAAGGAGGACCACACCAAGACACATCATAATTAAAATGCCAAGAGCAAAAGATAAAGAGAGAATCTTAAAAGCAGCAAGAGAAAGACAGTCAGTTACCTACAAGGGAGTACCCATACGACTGTCAGCTGATTTCTCAACAGAAACCATGCAGGCCAGAAGAGACTGGCAAGAAATATTCAAAGTGATGAATAGCAAGAACCTGCAACCAAGATTACTTTATCCAGCAAAGCTATCATTCAGAATAGAAGGTCAGATAAAGAGCTTCACGGATAAGAAAAAGCTAAAGGAGTTCATCACCACCAAACCAGCATTATATGAAATGCTGAAAGGTATTCTTTAAGAAGAGGAAGAAGAAAAAGGAACTCGTACCATTTGCCACAGCATGGATGGAACTTGAGAGCGGATAAATACCACAGGATCTCACTCATTTGTGGAATATAATGAACAACATAAGCTGATGAACAAGGACTGATCCAGAGACGGAGAGGCATTGATTGGACTGTCGGGACTCGGAGGGAAGGTAGGGGAGGGTGGGGGTAAGGGGGAAAGATCAACCAAAGGACTTATATGCAAGCATATAGGCCTAATCAATGGACATGGACAACGGGGGGGTGAGGGCATGAGTGGGGTGGGGGGTGGGGGTAGAGGGTAACGTGGGGACAAGGACACATATGTAATATTTTAATCAATAAAAAAATATATTAAAAAAAAAAAAGAAAAGAAAACATGCAAAAAAAAAAAGAATTCTCACAAATCAATAGTAAAAAGACAACCCAATTTTATTTTAATTTTTTAAAATTGATTTTAGAGAGGGAGACAGGAAGAGAGAGAGAGAAATATCGACATGAGAGAGACACATCTATCAGTTGCTTCCTGAACATGCCCCAAACAGGGATGAAACCCCAAACCTGCTACCATCAAGTGCACAGGATGACACTACAACCAATGGAGCCACATCGCCAGGGCAAAGACAACCCAACTTTAAAATGGGCAGAATAACTATTTCTCCTAAGAAGATGTACAAGTTAAAATCATAATGAAATACCATTTCACACCCACTAAGATGAATATAGGTAAGAGATAATAAATGTTGGCAAAAATGTGGAGAAATTAAGACCCTCATTCTTTGCTAGTAGTAATGTAAAATGTTGTAGTCACTTTGGAAAAGAGTCTGGCAGTTCCTCACAATTCTACTTAGAAAAATGGAGTTTCTTTTTCAGGTGATTAAAAAGTTGATTGTGGCCCTAACCAGTTTGGCTTAGTGGATAGAGCATCAGCCTGCAGACTCAAGGGTCCCAGGTTCGATTCTGCTCAAGGGCATGTACCTTGGTTGCGGGCACATCCCCAGTAGAGCGTGTGTAGCAGGCAGCTGATCGATGTTTCTCTCTCATTGATGTTTCTAACTCTCTATTTTTCTCCCTTCCTCTCTGTAAAAAATCAATAAAAAAAAATATATCTATATATATTTTTTAAAAAAGTTGATTGTGGTATTGGCTGCACAATTCTGTGAATACATTTTTTAAAACTATTGAATTAGAAAGAAGAAACCAAGATGGAAGCATAGGTAAACATTGGAAATTGCTGCCTCGCACAATCACTTCAAATATACAACTAGAGAACCAAGATGGCGGCATAGGTTAATGCCGGAGTTTGCTGCCTTGAACAACTACTTCAAAAGTGAAACTAAAAAACTGAACGGACATCACCCAGAACCACAGGAACGCTGGCTGAGTGGAAGTCCTACAACTAGGAGGAAAGAGAAACGCATATGGACACTCAGAGGAGGCGCAGTGCTGAAGTCAAATTCTGAAGTGCGGAGTGCGCGGAGCGGGCTGGCGGCGGAGGGCGCGGTTGGCGTTTTCAATCGGGAGGGAGTCGCAGACTCTGAGCTCCAGATACAGGCGAGTCTTTAGGGACCCAGACTCAAACGGGAGAAGCGGGACTGTCTGGCTTCGGTCAGAGCGAGTGCAGCTTTCTCTCCGAGGTTTGCAGCGGGTGCTGGGACTCAGAGAGGCAGAGCCCCTGGGGACAGGACAGAGAGCCGCCATAACTGCTCTCTCCGGCCCACCCTGTTGATCCTGTGCGACCCGCCCCGCCCAAGCCCTGCACACAGGCATTTGCCGGATAGCCTCAGGCAAACGCCAGATTAGCACCTCCCTAGAGGACAGAAGTTCTCTCACTGCAGACACAGCTGATTCTCATAGCCACTTGGCCTAGAGGTCAAACCCTCCCTGGTATTAGCTCCAACAATCAAGGTTTAACTATAAGACTGCGCACAAAGACCACTAGGGGGTGCACCAAGGAAGCATAACAAAATGCGGAGACAAAGAAACAGGACAAAATTGTCAATGGAAGATATAGAGTTCAGAACCACACTTTTAAGGTCTCTCAAGAACTGTCTAGAAGCCGCCGATAAACTTAATGAGATCTACAAGAAAACTAATGAGACCCTCGATGTTATATTGGGGAACCAACTAGAAATTAAGCATACATGGACTGAAATAACGAATATTATACAGACTCCCGACAGCAGACCAGAGGAGCGCAAGAATCAAGTCAATGATTTGAAATGTGAAGAAGCAAAAAACACCCAACTGGAAAAGCAAAATGAGAAAAGAATCCAAAAATGCGAAGATAGTGTAAGGAGCCTCTGGGACAGCTTCAAGTGTACCAACATCAGAATTATAGGGGTGCCAGAAGATGAGAGAAAGCAAGATATTGAAAACCTATTTGAAGAAATAATGACAGAAAACTTCCCCCACCTGGTGAAAGAAATAGACTTACAGGTCCAAGAAGCGCGGAGAACCCCAAACAAAAGGAATCCAAAGAGGACCACACCAAGACACATCATAATTAAAATGCCAAGAGCAAAAGATAAAGAGAGAATCTTAAAAACAGCAAGAGAAAGAAACTCAGTTACCTACAAGGGAATACCCATACGACTATCAGCTGATTTCTCAACAGAAACTTTGCAGGCCAGAAGGGAGTGGCAAGAAATATTCAAAGTGATGAATAGCAAGAACCTACAACCAAGATTACTTTATCCAGCAAAGCTATCATTCAGAATTGAAGGTCAGATAAAGAGCTTCACAGATAAGGAAAAGCTAAAGGAGTTCATCACCACCAAACCAGGATTATATGAAATGCTGAAAGGTATCCTTTAAGAAGAGGAAGAGGAAGAAAAAGGTAAAGATACAA